GGCCTCGGTGACAGGATCTTGGGTTTTCCTTCTGCCTCCTTCCCCTTCACTGCTGCCACATAGGAGAAGAGGCAGAGGACTGAGTAACAAATCTGATGGGCCTACAGAAGGAAAACAACCAGGAGTGAGATTACAGCTGTGTGTTGTTAAAAATAACACAAGGAACAAAAGCAGAGAAGCAGCTCCCCTCAGTCTAAATGCTGTAGGAGTACGTCATCATTAATTTGCTGTAGAGTGAGCTTTTGCCTGAAGTACCAATCGACCAGCGCATTGAGATTTCTAGTCATGAGTCCATAAACTCCTCAATGTGAGAACTTGCTTTTAAATTTCTGACTATTTCTTGATTGCCACGCATAATTTGGAGTTGATTTACCTTTGGAAGACTGAACAGCCATGTCACATGACTGTGACATTTTTGCTAAAGCCCCAAAATGGCCAGCAGTGGGGGCGTCTCGCATTGTGATCAAGGACCACTGCTTTGGACTCACAACCACAGGTTTCAACACGCGTTACATAATCACACACTGTAAAGGGGTGTATACTCAACAACAAGACCAATACCAAAGAATCATTAAATAGAAGTATCCGGTCTCACGGCTCCTAAAAAGATAGCACTTTCTGACAGAAGAAGTGAGGACTCACCATGGGGGTCTTGTACTTGTGGATCACCACTTCTTTAGTTTCAGGAACTATGCCGGTGCAAGAGACAAAACACAGAATTCAAAGGCAGCAGGAACCCCAATGAGTTCATGTTTGAGAGCTTAGGGGGTTACAGGGGTGAACTTTGAATAAGGTGCAAAATGGTATGTGGGCCAAGAAGAGTCCACCTCAACAGTTGGGAGTACAGTGATCTTCTGACCAGAGGAGCGACCAGGGCAAGATTGGTGAGTCTACTTTAGGTGGTAAATCTTGGTTATGTTGAGCTATATCGATATTCTGACCAACTGATTCAGTTTCATCTTTGAAATGATCAATCAACCAAAGGCCCATGTGATGGGTTTAATGTAATGATTAATCTATATCAGAAGGTATTTAATCTGAACTTGTGACTGTTGGTGATACATTCAAGGCCCACAAAATGGACAAATAAAAACACAAATATCTCATAAAAATAGACTGCAAAGGTTGTAAAGTTTCAAATATGAAAAACAAAACAAACAAACAAAAAAAAACAAGAAAAACTCTCCCCACCCCAGTGACATAAAAGTTTAAAGACACCATGGCAAAGCAGCTACAGAAAGGCCAAAATCCTTTGACCCGGGACCATGTCACTGTCCACAGGACAGACTTTTCATTAGTAACTGTAAACCCATAGCAGAGATGAGGAGGCTGACATCTGGAAAGATGAAAGGGCCAAGAAACATTAAACCACCCACCCCACCCCAAAATAAAAACAACAGTCCCACCAAAGACCTCGACTTGCTGAGATACAGAGGCAGACTGTTAGAGAATGATGGCCACATGAGAGATGGAGTCTGGGGTGATCTCCAAAACAAAAAGCAAGTGATGCAGAGGGAAACTCATGGTAAAGAAAAGAAAAAAAAACATGTAAGGACTAAGTGAGGAAATATTC